CTGGCCTGGACTCTACTAATCAAGAAAATTTTAAAAAATTGTGAGATATGGAGAGATGAGTGTACGATTTAACATGGAATGGCTTTTTCGTATAAACAATTTAGACATAAATTGTATTCCTGTTTTTTCTCCTCATCATTACTTCCAGTTTTAATTCAGGATTTGTTACTTTTTATTAGTGTTTTTTAAAGTTTTCTTAGCTACTAAGCAACTGCATTTTTTTTTATCGTAGCGCTTCATGGTCGTCTTTCTGGACTTCCGCGGATTAGATTTTTCTGCTTCTTACACTTGCTCAGTGCTTTAAATGGAGATTACAGTAAACGGAAAGAAGACTAAGGTAGATAGACACTCGACAAAATTATTGCAGTAAAACTTTAAAAGTTTGTGTAATAAATCCAGTCTACTCTCATATTTTGGTTGATATCTCGGCTGAAAATGGAATTTAAATTGTGGAATTGTAAACACAAACAGAGCACCCTTAACAAAGAATATACAGAAACTTCAACATTTACACAGGTCACTTGTAAGTTTAGCCTACTTTTACGGGGTTCATTCGAATCACTTCCAGATGCCTCCGTATTACACAGTGGCATTGCGCCAAATCCGATGGAAAGGCATTTTCTTTCGAAGCCTGCAACATACTTTGACGAACACGCTGCGTAATTTTCGCTGTCGGGAGGGAGCTTTCTGCAAACTCCTTATTTGATAATAATTGTTTGAAGGAGGTTCTGAGGTACCATTGTAAAAATATGCTAAATAGAGTAATCAGTGGCGGAATTTGGCAATGTTTTTAGACTATATAGAAGACGAAGGTTCAGAAATTTTGAATATTGACCACTGACTTTTCCTTGGGCTGAGACTCAAAGCAGTCGGACATCCAATATAGCCGTTATAATTCTCTCGCTCTTTCTGCTTACATGTATTCCACCTAGAACACGTTCTAAATGTTTACGTTCCAGCTGGGAAGAACGTTTCAGGTGGCCACTAATAACTAATAAGTTAGAACTTTTAACATTTTAAGGTTTTCTCAGGACAGACATGCAGTGAAAGCGGAGTGGCTGGATTTTGTAAGCCCGTTGTTGGCCACACAAATCCGAGTATTCTGGACCTTCAGACACTTGAAACACTCTGACAGCAGCAGTTTGAAACATGCTGATATTTGATTAATTTTGGAAAAACGCTTTATCAGTAGACCAGTTTTAATTTGGAATGAACTTCTAAAATAAATGGCAAATTTTACTTTATTTTATAGCCATGAAGAAATTAAGGGAAACTTTGGGAAATAAGGCGTCATTACATCGATATTCATGTTACAACCGGTCGTTACTGATAGCAGTTATGCAACTGTTGTATATCACCTTTTTTTCGTATAAAGGTTTACTACCAAGCTGCAAGAATACATAACTTTTATTTTATTCTTTTTTTTTTGCGGGCTTTTGCGATCCGTTCCGATGACAACGGATTTCTCCGTAACAAATAATGATTAAGCAGGAAACCCTCAGCTTCCTTGCAAAAGCTAGTTGAAACATTTCAAAAACAAGACCGCAGCCGCTTAAGCGGCTATTTTTTCCCTATCCCCCGCTTGATTTTCTTCCTTTCTTACAAAAACCAGCGTATTTAGAAAGCAGTAACTGTTAAAAGTTGCCATTTAGAAGGAGCTAACTCGCATTTTGATGTTCAGGAACGACATCAGTTGGGAGTTCTACAACGACAACGACTATAGTTAAGGTCGCAGACTAAGGCTCCAATTTGTTCTACAGTGGGCAGAAAAAAAATTTTCTCCTCAGTTTCATTGCTGAAAAAGCAAAATCTTTTCCTTGAGCACACTTTTGAGTTTTTTTAAAAATTATAAGTTTTTTGATTTATCTGCAGCACCTACTGTTCGAGTTAATTTTTTTATAACTAGTCTTAAGTTGGCTTTTGTCCGCTGTTTACCAAAGTTTTCTATTTTTACCAGCAGCTACTATAAAATTATACAAAAAGCAAACAGTCTCTGCGGGAAGTCAGAAATTGTTGAATGGATTCGGCAAGACAAAACAGTTACAAACTCTACCTTACGCGTGCAACTAGGACGGAACTTCAGATAACCGTTGCTGTAATGGAAGAACGCGCCCTTTATCGTTTTTCGCAACCAATCTAATATAGTCATTAATGATATTATTAAGAAGTATCCGATCTACTAGTTGCAAAGCCATTTCGTACGTTCATCGTGACGAAAGGTAAAAGCTGTTAGGACGTTCGACAATGAGTTGCAGGACAGTTACACAGAAGTTCCTCGGCTGGTCGACCAAAGTAGCATTCAAATTTGCCGCATTTATTGAGGATTTGAATGACGAAGTACGGTAGAACCTCGCACTTTCCCTAAACAAAAACTTGAGTCCTGTGCGAAGCCTTTAGGAGCGTGCGGGCGTGACCGCTAGTGGTTGGATTAGGTTCTAATAGCACTGAAGTTTTCATGTGCTAGTTTCATTTGCTGTAAATGACGAGTCGAACTTGTTAGTTCATCTGTTGTCTTGTAGATAACGCAGAGAGGTGCAGCTAAACAGGAGACAACAGTTTTTGAGAAACCGCTAAAAAAGTATTAGGTGAACTTGAAATCTTGAAGTTTATTTTCTTTTTACGAGTTAGGTGTTTCCATTGTTTTGGAACAACAACCAAATGGATCTAGGAAGAGTTGGAAGTCAATACTTCATCATTCAATCTCAACCGTTCATTTGATGTCATTATTTAAAGGATTATTGGCATTCTGATCAGCTATAGATGTTTGAAAATATACAGGATACGCGTTTTAGCGCTCTTTCGCGTTGTTCAGTTTCATTCTCTGGTCGAGTTATACAGAAGAACACCGGTAGACAGTTAAACTGGTTGCAGGATAACTGTTATTGTTGGATACTGTGCTTTCAACGTATTGAAGGTGATGGATAGATCGTCCGTGGCGAAAGAGATTGTTGAAGGAACTATCTATCGAGTTGACACTGACGGTGCCGAAGTGCCGTCTTTTTTCGTGTATATTAGGGTATCTGAAAGCGAAAAAAATAGAAAGGAAATTGATGAGCTCTGTGAGAATTCCAGAAATGAGCTGATAGAAGTTAATGAATCGGCTTATACGCCAGGTAAATCTTATTGTTAATCGAAAACTTGTTTCTGTAAATGTTTTAAAGTCTTATTGTAATGTTTCATATGCCTGTCATACTATTTTTGTGAATTGTAAGATAGTTGAGCCTTTATGTGTCAAAGTAGTTAGGTGCTGAAAAATTCTTTTTTACTCCCTATGTGCTGAACTCTCTTTGTTTTTCATCGTAAAGTTTTTTTAGGCACTATATACGTTGCATCTGTAAACGGTAAATTAATGAGGTGCTGTTACCTTAGAAAGTGTGACGCGGAAATTGAGGTGATTATCTTGACCATAAAATGCTTCGGTAGTTCAGCAATTTGCTTCCTAACAAATGGCTTATTAAAATAAGCTCAGCAGTGTTGCCAGTAATTCTTTTATTGTTCTTGTTGCGGAATTACTCTCAGTGACTACACTTTCTCGCAAACGGAAGTTATCTTGAACCATTGGATATCTTACAGGTATACCTACTTGACGAAGGAAGTAGAGTTTGCGTAAAGCGCTCGGATTTGTTTGATTGCTTGGATTGTCTGAAAAGATTTCAACTTTTCTGTTGCATTCGTCCAGTACTTATCAGTGACGTGCTGCCAACACAAATTGATGTTGCCAAAGCTCTTACGGGGTTTAAATGCCGATATATTGGAGGTTTAATTTGTCTCATTCGCCTACTAAAAGTCTGTTTTTCTTTCTGGTTTTGAGGAGTATGGGATAGAAGGAACTTTCTGTTTTTCTTGTGTTTTTTTCAAGTACTCAAATTGAGTAACAAAATGCCTATTTATTGTTAATAGCCTTTGGGTTTCATTGAGTTTTCTGCAAAACTGTTTTAGCTGATTTGATTTTGAACAGTGCAAAGCCGTATGCGAAAGGCATGGTACTTGTGGAATATGAAAGTGGTTCGTTTTCCGACATTAAAGATATCGGTACAAGGCCTGTAGAAGGCAAAGAATGCCCACAGTTCAAAGTTGAGGGTGAATGCTTTGCTGTTTGTTCAGTCTCCCAGCCGTGTAGCCTGGAGTTTTTTTTAACTTTGAGATTTTTTTAAAAATTGTTATATCAACTGTGGTAGCTAATGGTTGACAAAATCAATTTTTAGATAATTTTTTCTTTCGTTGTGTTCAACAATAATTTTTGTAGTGAAGGAGAATAATGATGCCGAAGGATGCGAGTCCGCTGGATTGGCTGACCAACATCCGAATATAGACTGTGATGTTGTCGTACAGACTTCTGAATGTTTAAATGGAGACGTCGATGAAAGTGGGCAGAAGGTATTTGAACGTCTGCTTTTTTTTTTTGGAGTAAGTTACGTTTTTTGTTTGCACCTTATCATTTAGTTAACAAGTTTGCCCGCTGAGGTTTCTTCAAGCATTAAACCAACGAATGATAGTATACCGGACCCTGAAAAGAAGATAGGGATTGAGGCTACACTGAGTGGTCAATTTAAGAAAAACCGATTGTTATCAAATAAATATCCATCA